GGAACTGGCGGCCAGTCGGCGGGCGTTTAGTATGGGATCGCATGAGACCAAGAAGTTGTCCGAAGAGGAGATAATCGCTAATATAGTGCTGTTTCTGTTGGCCGGGTATGAGACGACGGCATCCCTGTTGTCCTTTTCGGCGTACAATTTAGCGCTGAATCCGGAATCGCAGCGAAAACTTCGCGATGAGCTCCGGGAGTGTCCGCACCTGGACTACGAGTCGGTCGCGAAGCTACCGTTCCTCGAGGCGGTCGTGTGCGAGACGTTACGCATTCACAATCCGGTTACGAGAGTGGATAGGGAGGCCTTCGAGGACTATGTGTTGGGGGATACGGGTATAACACTGACAAAGGGGTCAGTAGTTGCTATACCTGTGCACGCCTTACACCACGACCCCCACTACTACCCCGATCCTCACCGTTTCATACCGGAGCGCTTTTTAGGGGATAACCTGAATAAGGTTAAGCCCTATACTTACCTCCCATTCGGTGGGGGCCCCAGGTTTGGGATTACTTTTCCATTGACATACTATATGTTAATAGTGTTTTTGACTATTAATTAGGAACTGTATTGGTATGCGGTTTGCGTTGCTTGAAGCTAAGCTGGCACTGGCCCGGGTGCTAATGGACTACGAGTTCAGCCCATGTGCCAAAACTGAGGTACCGTTGCGTTTCGTGAACACCCGGCCCGGACTCCTACAGGCCGTCAGTATTTGGGTGAATGTCGAGCGAAGGAATTGAATTCAGGTTTTGGGTTTAATTTTGTTTTTGAAATATTGTGCAATAAATGACATTTAATTTTTGTTAACATAGATTTATTTTTGATTCGTTTGTTAATTGTTACTTGTTTCAATTTGTTTAAGTTAGTTTTGTAGATATTGCATAAGAAAAATATGCTTGTGGTTTGCATTTAAATAAATAATAAAAATTATAAAATTATAATTAATTTTAAAACTAACAATCTTATAAACTTAAAATAATACTGAAATTTAGAAATTTATAATTTTCAAAACTAATAATTAATAATCTCTTTGAATAAATCATTTTGTATTAAATCTTTGATGTTTATTACCCAGCAAATATAAATCCCAAACCGATCCCGCACATATTTTTACCCTTAGCCAGTCGGATGTATCCTTTTTCACCCCAACCCTCACCGTAACTGTAAATTAAATTGAAATTAAAATAATTAAGGTTACATTAGAAATCATACCTATTTCTAGCCAACCAATACTCGGTCCCATTGTCGACACCCTCTCCCACCAGAAGTAGGCTGTGATCCAAAGGGTGGGTAGTATTGCACTCAGCGCTGTCTAGTATACCGCCGGCGTATGTCTGGAATGCAGGGGAACTGGACTTTGTGTACACAACCAGTGGTCCACTTGTCACCGACAGATCTTTTTCAACGTCAATGGGTTTGTTTGGGTCCATCCACTGGGCCTCTATCATGTGAAAGCCTGTCCCGAAAATTTTTGATGTATTGCACGTATGGGTGCACTGGCCGGTGAACGGGTGATCCCTTTCCACATCAATAATGAGGTTCATATCATTTATAGTCTCGAAGACATCGTATGCGCTGACAGTAGTATTACATATACACCAATCGGGGTCTAGTAATTATGCATTAATTATATTACGATAAGTACAGCAAAATAAGTGTAATTGTATGACTATGACCATGGTCAACTCACTGCAATCAAACAGCTCCTGTGCGCTCATAGGCTCCAGTGGTTTTCCGGTATGTAATGAGCGAATGGCGCTAATCATGTCCAACACGTTCACTGTTCCCGCACTCAAACATTGGCTCTAATTAATGTGGATTAATATAGATTATTGTGATAGGTCACTTTATGAGACAAATTAGAAAATTAAAAAATCAAACTTACCTGGTTGTGCACTGGTAGTATTACTTTTTTGTCCCTCCAATCTATCTTAGTCTCGCAAATATAACCAGACACAATCAGACTAAAAAGCATTAATAGTGTAATGGGGGCCATGATCATTTATAACATTATATAAATTTTATATTTTGAAAAGTATTATATTTATTTAATATATAAATAAATTAAATATAGTTATTTTTCCATAAATACTACTTCTTTTATATAAGAAAGTTTTACATCTTGTCCTTATAATCTCTTCTAAGGTACGGTATAATTATCAAGTTCATTTGAAAAACTATAGATTTTGAATTCTTATCAACTATAATATATTATCTACTGTTCACAAATTAGGTACGACCTCAAAATAAGACTGTCCAAATTATGGTGCAATAATTTGTAAATGATTGAACTAAAAAACAAGTGATAAGCAACAAGGCAAAACTCACAAAATCCTTGAATTTTCACAGAGTTATCATTGGTAAATGATTACCATGGTATGTTCAATAATTTAATTAAATGTCTATTTATTCTTATTATTTGGTTTAAAATACAAATTAATAAATTTTACTATAAGATTAACATAGGATTTATGGAATTTATTTTAAAAATATATTATAAACAATTAATTTATCCAAGTTGAATTAGCAGCCAATGCTTTCAAATATATGAGTATACCGTCAATTTAAAGGGTTTGGTCTACATTACTCAGTTTTCAATGTTATACGAATGTCGCTACATGTCTTAATTAGAGAATATTCTTACCGCAGAGTTTCCATAGGATTAAAGTATGATATTGGAAAAAATAAAGTAATTTACATATACAGTACATTTAACATGTAAATCAACATGTTGGCACATTAATTTATTTTATAAATTCAATGTCAGCATTAATTCAGTGTTACCCAGTTTATTTAAAAAGCAAACATTTACCTAATAAAAAGTAATGTTCATTACAAACTTATATGAATGTAACTCATTTAGTTGTAATTTATTATGCATAAAACGTATTTAACTGTATGTGCATTTTATAGAGATTGTGTATATTAAAAAATAATCTATTATTTAATTTTAAATAAAAATGTAATTTTTAGACTTTAATAAATATTTATTTCACAAATGTTTCAATTTATATTTTTTATTTCTAATATTTATTAAATTGGGTTAATCTTTAAAACTAACAATACAGTATTATAAGCTTAATATTGCAATTTGCAAGTTTATTATTTTTACAATAAATACTTAATAATAAGCTTGAATAAATCATTTATATTAATTATATACTGCTCTACCCAACAATTGCATATCCATAACCAAACCCGCAAACATGCTTCCCTTTAATCAGTCTTATGTAACCCTTTTCACCCCAACCCTCACCGTAACTGTAAATTAAATTGAATTAAATTAAAATAAGCAAGGTTACATTAGAAATCATACCTATTTCTAGCCAACCAATACTCAGTCCCATTGTCGACACCCTCTCCCACCAGAAGTAGGCTGTGATCCAAAGGGTGGGTAGTATTGCACTCAGCGCTGTCTAGTATACCGCCGGTGTGTCTGAAATGCAGGGGATCTGGACTTCACGTACACAACCAGTGGTCCACTTGCCAACGATTTGGACAGACCTTTCTCACCATCTTCATCGGGTATCTTTGGGTCACTCCAAGTGGCAAAATTAATAGTATAGCCTGTTTTCTCGATCGTTTTCCGATCGCATGTATGGGTGCACTGGCCGGTGAACGGGTGATCCCTTTCCAAATCAATGACATCTCTCATATGATTAGTAATCGATGATAAGACAGTATATGCGTCTACACTGGTATTACATATACACCAATTGGGGTCTAGTAATTGGGCATTAATTATGTACCATTAGATACATTAAGTATGAAGAAATAAATACAATTTTATGAATATGACCATGGTCAACTCACTGCAATCAAACAGCTCCTGTGCGCTCATAGGCTCCAGTGGTTTATCGGTTTTTAATGAGCGAACGGCGCTAATCAGGTCCAATACGTTCACTGTTCCCGCACTCAAACATTGGCTCTAATTAATGTGGATTAATGAGGATTAATGTGACAGGTCACTTCATGAGAAAAATCATATTATTTTTGAAAATCAAACTTACCTGGTTGTGCACTGGTAGTATTACTTTTTTGTCCCTCCAATCTATCTTAGTCTCGCAAATGCAACCAGACACAAGCAGACCTAAAAACATTAATATTTTAATTAGAACCATGATCATTTATTTTATGAAAAGGATTATGTTTATTTAATATATTATATTTTATATTAAAGTGAGTTATTTTTTCCTTATATATTACTTCTTTTATATAAATTTGTTTTAAAAGTTTGCACCTGTAATCTTTTTCTAAGGTACGGTGTTATTATCAAGTTCATTCGATAAACTATAGATATTGAATTCTTATTAACGTATAATACTGTTCACAAATATGATGCAATCTCAAAATAATAATGTTCACATTATGCTGCAATAATCATTACTTTATTGAGATTGTATCGTAATTGTTAGCAGTAGATAATATAGTGATCCTATGTTAATCCAATACTAAAATTTATTTATTTGTATCATAAACCAAATAATAAGCATAGTCATTTAACTTAATTAATAATCATACCATGGTAATCATTTACCAATGATAGATCCATGAAAATTCAAGGATTTTATGCATTTTGCCTTGCTGCTTATCACTTGTTTTTTAGTTCAATCAATTACTAATTATTGCACCATAATTTGGACAGTCTTATTTTGAGATCGTACCTTTTTGTGTAAATTAGATAATATAAATTTATAAGAATAACTTTGATAAGAATTCAAAATCTAGAGTTTTTCAAATGAACTTGATGAGTACACCGTACCTTAGAAAAGATTATAGGAACAAAATGTAACACTTTCTTATAAAAGAAGTAACATTCATGAAAAATTAATTAACGTTAATTTATATTTTTATAATATATTAACTAAGCAGAATACTTGTCATAACATAAATGATCATGGCTCTAATTAAACTATTGATGCTTTTTAGTCTGACTTTGTCTGGTTGCATCTGTGAGACTAAGTTAGATTGGAGGGACAAGAAAGTAATACTACCAGTGCACAACCAGGTAAGTTAGATTTTAAAAAGATTTTATAATATCTGATTTGTCTCATAAAGTGACCTATCACAATAATCTATATTAATCCACATTGATTAGAGCCAATGTTTGAGTGCGGGAACAGTGAACGTGTTGGACATGATTAGCGCCGTTCGCTCAATAAAAACCGGTAAATCACTGGAGTCTATGAGCGCACAGGAGCTGTTTGATTGCAGTGAGTTGACCATGGTCATAGTCGTAAAATTACATTTATTTTGCCCTATTTTAATATAATTAATGCATAATTACTAGACCCTGATTGGTGTATATGTAATACTACTGTCAGTGCACACGATGTGGCAATATCCATAGATCAAAATTTGCTGAATTCATTGGATTTGGAAAGGGATCACCCGTTCACCGGCCAGTGCACCCATACGTGCGATACACGAAAGATTTATGAAACAGGCTTTCATTGGGACTATATTATGATGACTCCATTAAACACAACCTATAATAATGAAGAAGGTCTGTCCGACTTTTTGGCTGAGGGACCAGTAGTGGTGTTAACAAAATCCAGTTCCCCTGCATTCCAGTCATACGCCGGCGGTATACTAGACAGCCGTGAGTGCAATACTGCAGGTCTTCCGGATCACAGCCTACTTCTGGTGGGAGAGGGTGTCGAAAATGGGGTCGAATATTGGTTGGCTAGAAATAGGTATGATTTCTAATGTAACCTTGGTTACTTTAATTTTTATTTAATTTACAGTTACGGTGAGGATTGGGGTGAAAAGGGTTACATACGACTGGCTAAGGGTACAAACGTGTGCGGGATCGGTTATGGATATGTACTTGTTGGGTGGCCCATTAACAATAAACATAAATGATTTAATACAAAATGATTTATTTTAAAGTATTATAACAGATTATTATAAGTGATCATTTATTGTTAAAATTATATACATGAAAATTGATGTTTATAATATTGGTCAATTCAAAAATGAACTCGAATTTATAAATGAAATTAAAAATGAAATTAAATTAAAAGTTGTTAATTTTAAAATTTTAATTTTAGCCCTTATGAACTATACAAATGTATAAATGTTTGATTGCTTTATAGACCCTTATTTATAAAATACAAATAAAATGGCAACTTAGAAATTAGTTTTAACAGGTTTCAAGGTTAATTTATTTTGAATAACTAAAAAGTCTGTAAATTCCTTGAGATTTTTAAAAATTATTAATATTGTATTAAATTTTAGCTTGGGTCTACCTTTCCATTGACATACTATACGTTAAAAGTGTTTTGATGGTTAATTAGGAACTGTATTGGTATGCGGTTTGCGTTGCATAATATTGAAACTCAATCTAATTTATTGATTCTTTGTGATAACAAAATAATTTAAATAATTAGTTAATGAATTCATTTAACTGACAAAACTAATAGACTACAAGTTACTATGCGTTCAACAGTGAAATCATTGACAATTTATTTGAAATATTTATGAATAATTATACAAATTACTCATCTATTCTTACATAACTAACACAAATACGAGTTTTATTAATACAATTCATTTAAACAAGTTGATTAAGTTTGTGAGAGTTGATTATTATTGATTAAAATGTCCAGTTCTACCAGTATTTCAATGAATACAATGCAAACTACTGATTGCAATAATGATAACACAAATTGTGTAGCAATTGAGACACCGATCGATAATGTGAATGAAGAAAGATGTGAAAGTTTATTCAGTATTAAAAACTTGGTCATTTTGTTGGCTAGAATTGGATTTCCGATCAACAATTATGACACAAATGCGAATAAGATTTGGAAACGGATTTTCTTGAAAATGGCATGTTATTTGTCCATACACTTGGCCCTGGTAGCTAACGTATTACCTATCATCTGGATAAGAATAAGTAACCGTCAGAAAATTGATTTCTCATATTTACTGACATGTATAATGGCCTTATCCTGGAATATAACTAGTGTTGTAATCATTAATACATACTATTTGTATGGCAGTCGATTCAACATAGTTTTGGATAATTTAATCAATTCAAACACACGGGTTGATACAAATAGAGACATAAAAAGGACCTGCTTATCATGGTCATTGAGTACAATTTTATCCATTGGACGAGTTTTATGTCGCTTACTATGGCTCTTATGCATATATTTTAGTTTTTATTATACGCATAAATGTTACGATTTAATTATATTGATCACGCTGAGTTTTCTTAACATTATGTACGTGTCAATCAACTTTCTATTATTCTGGAAATTATTCGCTATATTAAGTGTAGAATTTAAGAATTTACACAATTTTACACAGAATTATATTAATGACATAAACCTATCTATCGATGTCATGGAAAGTATAATTGTCAGGTAAATTATATTAAATCCTGATACTGTAATTTTTAATTTTCTAATTTCTACTTTGTATATTTATAGATCTAAGCGTGTCATTGAAAACTCCACAAATGTTGTGATAATATTTCGGAATATTCAATTTCATTATATTATTGTATTCAAGGCAGTTATAATAATAATAACGTTGATAATTAGCCAAGCTGATATTATATGGGGATTAGAGAGTAGTATTTACACGAAGATTTGGAAAACGATTATAATTATGATCACAGCATATGGTGTATGTCTAACAGCCCTATCCATAAAGAAAACCAGAAATTTTACACAAATTTGGGGCCAAACGGTAGCTCTAATCGAGACGTACGGCACAACAGCACCCGACTCCCAGTCCATTGAATTTAAGATTTTGTTTTTGCAATTCAACGTTATATGATATATAACTTATATCCATCAAATCGAAAATCCAATTTAAATATGTTAGATATATCGTATACCCAACTATTATATTATTCATTCTAATTGTAATTTTATTTATTCTATCCAGTTGATTCAATTAATATAAAATCAATTGAATGTTTACAATTCCTACACTTTAAATATTAATATTTTCAATTTATTTAATGTAAATGATAAATACATTAAATGAATAAAATTTCTGTATTAAAAACGATTAACATCACTGTTACTGAGCATTTGATTACCACCTGGCTTGATTATAAGTTTACGAATTATAAACACCCTGTTATTGCTTACAACAGTAATCTTGCTAGAAATATACTGATAGCACACATGGAATACATTGGATAACATTATCACCGAGAATCCAAACCATAGGCTAACATAGGATGCCGTATACGACACAAACTCCTCCAACAGTATTTTCGGGTAATGCGTATACACCATGTCGGGACTGGTAGGCGGGAACAGGAACACAAAGAATCCACTTTTCGTGACAAACAGTTGATTCAATTTCATTTCGTAGTACTCCTGATGGCACTCGTTATTCACGCCACAGAATCGCATGCATCGAATGGCAAACAAATCGTCAAGTTTTGGGTGTCGTTTGAAATACTCCTTAGTATTCATGATCTTGATATCCAACGACTGATTGTATTGTAAGTAATTTCCGGGCCATACATCCGACGACACGTTCTCAGCGAACGCCTGAATACGACATTTGGTGATACAGTCGGATAGGGATGTGTAGCCCACGGCCTGGTAGTCATAGCAGTCGGTGTTGTAGGGTTTGGGTAGGGATCTGACCGAAACCCGTTTGTACTCCAAATAGTATTCTGTTGTATCGTTTTTGTTGGCAGTTATGGGGTATTCAATGGGTTTTGATTTGAATACTTCTTGGAGTAACTGATCCCTCCGGTGAACAATGGCCCGTATTTTGGGATTATTTCGCAGTAATAGTCGTATGAAAAATAGCGAGTTGTGATAATCCCGGTACAATATGCCGGTGTCCAGGTTAAAGTAGTTTGTTGATTGCTCATTTGTTGGCGATAGGAATGTGAAACATATTCTGTGACCAAGAATTTTATTTATTAAATATGAAATATGTATGATTAATAAGCTAGCTAATTTTAAAACATTATTCCTGTTAGAAATATACGCAACTGTTCAACAACTCTGCTTTTATATGATCTTAAAGTACAGTACTGTTATATTACAGCAGCGATATAGTACTTAATTTTGAAGTTAACCTGGGATAGAGTGCCAAGGTATTTATATACTGTTGAGAAAAAATAACTGACCAAGTTTAGAAATTAATTAGTTTTCATTAAATGTGTCAATGATGCAAAAGTAATTTAAATTTAATTATATTTATTAATAATGATGTTAAAATATACGTATTTCATTTCGACATGGCTTTATACGTGTATAATATACGATATTTTATATCATATTCAGAGACTTATATTTATACTTATTATTCACTGCATTGGATATGAATAGCTGGGCACTGTTGCGCAGGGTGAACTCAAAATTGAGTACTTTTTGACTGTATTACAGTGAGTGAGTGAGTGAGTGAGTGAGAGAGAGAGAGAGAGAGAGAGACTTACCCTGAATAATCAATAGACATTTTAACAGGAGTAACAAGGTCGCATTTTTCATAATATATTTCAATACTATTTGACGACTTATTGGTGAATCTGTTTCCGGAAACGTAACACGAATTGAATATATCGTTAAACGCGTAAAACATATCAAACTGCTCTCTAATCGTGTAATTACTGCAAAAGTCTTCAACTATTTTATCATTTAAATAGCGATTACTTTCGGTGCGCTTCAATTGTAATTGATCCAGGTATTTAGGTTTCAAGACATCTACTTTGTCCAAACATATGGTGATCGCTGGCAATGAGATCACAGAATAGTTGCCATAATTAACAAAAGTAGTGGTTTTATACGAGAAATATATGTCACATATCGAGTGGATTTGATACAAACATACGGACAAACAAATTGTCATATGGTGATCGCTGGCAATGAGATCACAGAATAGTTGCCATAATTAACAAAAGTAGTGGTTTTATACGAGAAATATATGTCACATATCGAGTGGATTTGATACAAACATACGGACAAACAAATTGCATAAAATGCATAACGAAAGTGAATTAATTTTAAAATAGCCATAAATTATGAATATAAGTTAAATTCTCATTATTTAAATTATTTAAAATGTCAAAAAAAACTTTATTTATTTATACTTTATCATATAACTTATGCTTTTACTGTTATAATAACAAAAAAGTAAATTAATCAAGTTTCTTGTTTTGTAAAACATTGTAATAACTATTGATAGTAATTAAGTTATTTTCCACAATTAACTTTATTGATTCATATAGTACAATTTATTACTAAAACTATTATAACTACCTAGCGTTATTAATTATAATTTATAAATAATATTGCCTTTATTCATAAACAATATGTTTAGAAAAATATTATTGATTTTAACAATTAAATCTAGAAATTAACATTATAACGTATATGATATAATACGAATTAGTAATTATATAAAACATCATGATGGAATATTCCAATATATATATATAATCTTAATTTATATTTCTATAATTAATAAATAATTACTGATATTAAATTGTTTTGAAAAAATTGTGATTATTATTTTTTATTGAATGTAGAAAATACAAGTTCAGTGAAGTTTTTACATTTGAATAAACTAAATTTTTATATGGCATAAAATAACCCAAGGATATTTTCAAATAATGTTATCAGATATCTTTAGCATTCATAAAATGTTATATAATGAAAACATAACTATTAATAATATATCAAATTAACAAAATTACAGAGATTAATACAAGCTAATTTAATAAACAAAGTACAGTGGTAACTAAATCACATTATAAATGTTTGTCATAGCATACATAATACATAACTTATAATACTCAATTTACAGTTACTATGCAAACAATTATTAAAATGATTGGCTGTTAACTTGATATATTTATAAATAAATAAACTTTATTCAAT